TTAAAATCCAATAATATATTTACCTTGAAAGAGAGAGAATGCATAGTGGTACCTGCTTAGGTGCCCTCTCCAGCATTCCTGGTGACCCAAATCCCAAGTGCAAGTTTCTAGACTTCCTGGTAGCATTAAGGGCTTGCTGACCCTTCCAACTGATTTCCATTGGTCAATAAAGCCATCCAAGATGGTGATGGGGCAAAGGGAATCAGTTGAAGTAGGCAAACATTTGACACTACGAGGAAGTGTTGAAATTTGCATTTTACAGATGCTGAAGAGAGCAGGATAGATCACATCTGGGCACCTGCGACCATCATGAGCATCAGCTGTTGCATTGTAATTATGCAAAGGCTTGTCTCATCTTGGGACTTGTTTTCCACTACAGAGAGTAATATGTCTTTTCAAAGACACACAGAGGACATTCCTTCTGTAAAAGGGTTACAGCAGCAGTCCATACACCTCATTTCTCAGTATCCACAGAAACAACTGACACCTAGATCCTGGGACCACTGATATTATAGAATCAACGCTTATATCACCAGCAAAGCTTTATTAAAATGATTACATCACTGCAGCAAAGGAGCAACATTTCAGGTCCATACAGGATACCTGACGGAAAGGGGTCCTGTGTCACCCCGAAATGTTTCACCTTTATTGCTGTGATGTAATCACTTTCATAAAGGTTTGTGGCGTTAGCTTGAAGATCCATGGTGTGCTGGCAATATATGCTTTTATCCACAAGGTTACTGGACTCCACCTGGTAGTTGCTTTACCACTCATCTATACTTTACCATTTCCAAGAACATGTATGGGAGAATATTATAGGTGCCTTTAAATTATAGCTAGATCCTCCTTATTGGAGTCTTCTATAGCTGTATGAGCCTAAGAAATCCTTTGTGATCCTTCTAAACCCCTTGTACCCAGATTTACTATTAGCTTGTGCACAATTATTAAGCAATCTGCTTGCAAAAGCTCTAAGTAGACTCTGGCACCACTCACAGAAGAATCTAATTCCAACCCTACTAAGCCTCAACCTTCAAAGTATTACTAAAGGCAAAACTGTTTTGTTTTGGATAGAGTGGAGATGGATTAGAACACCTGTCATTTTTTATTGCTGTCTGTGCCCCCTGTTAAGATTTGCCCTCTCTATTTGTCCTGCTTACCATTATCATTGAAAATTAAGGTAAAAGAGCATTCCAAATTTTGAGTTCTCCCCAGAAAAGTAATAGAGGCGAAGTCTTCCAGTGGGGACACTAGTTCTGAAGATCTGGGGGGGGGCGCAAAGAATTCCCTTAATTTGCAGGGATTTCCTCTCACTTCCTGTTTTGGCTATGGGACAAGAAGTGAAGGGAAATCTCCACAATGGGATACAGATGACAAAAAAACCTGACAGGGGCTATAAACCTCCCTTGCTCTATCCAAAATGGGGAAAAAAAGTTTTGCTTATAGTTCTACTTTAAGTGTGCCTGCTTGCAAAGGCTCTAATTATTCTCAGATTTCAAATGGAGTCATCACAGTTTCCACCTTTTGACAAAATCCATATGAAATTTCAACAGGTTGTGTTTCTAATCTGGTTGATGCAGTTAGTTTTACCCTGCAGTTGGAGGATCAGTCTGCTGTTCCATGCATAGGTTCTTTTAGATGTTACCTTTCCAGTGCACTTGATATTTAAAACTTTCCTCTGACAATTGGACAGTCTGTAAAATCCTGGACCCTCTCCTGAGCATGTGAAGGGGCTTTTCCCTTTGAAAGTGAATTTATTATTGGTGCACTTTAGATAGTCTAGTCATCCACCTTGACAAATAGGTTGATTATGTTTTTACTTTTAGGGACTTCACAGACATCAGATCTCCCTACTTTATTTCAGTTTACTTTAACTAGAGTAAATTTCCATCTTATATTGACTGTGACTCTGACTCAGACTTGTGAATCCATGACCATGTGGATCAAATCCCTTCAAGAGTATTCCTCCATCTCATGAATGAACCCTCATATCCTGCAGCTTGTGGAACTGATGTGTGGAACCCTGTGATTCGGCTGCGATGGTCACTTACGAACATCTAAGCTTGTGTCTTGCATGGCGTGATCATATGCGTTGGGTGCTTTGACTGTGTGCCAAGGACATCGAGGATATACCCAAGGGACATCTGATTTACTGGCCTTTAAGGGAAGGTGCATTTTTTAATCTATCCTTCACAGGATCATTCCCAATACAATAGAGGTCAGTGTGTATTCCTGCACTCCATTGTCAGTTTTCCTTGGTTTGTTTGTATTTTCGCACCCTGGGATCTCTGATTCTTTTTCTGGTAAGGCCCTGTCTTTAGGAATCATGCCTTATTTGATCTTGCAATCCTTTTTGCAGGGGACAACTCATCAGTGTTCTCCAGCAATTCTGGACCTTGCTTGCAGCATGGCCCCTTATTTCCACCTTAGTGCATTTTTCTAGATATCCCATTGTGGAACAGTAAGTAGACCTTCCCTGACAAGAGTCCATTTTATTTTTGTGGTTTTGCCCCAGCGTGTGCCTCCTTTCTTCTCTGCAAGAAAGTATATATCGCTGTAAAGTTCTGCACTTCTTGCAGGTCAGCAGGCAGGACTGTCTAAGAGGGATAATGCAAGTCTGCATGTCTTCATGGGTGAATATTCTCATTGTACGTACTAGCCTTTCTACTCCTAGTTCCCAAGGAAATATATTCTTCCCTTTAAAGAGGTAGTTTGGAAAATTCCTAGGATCATATTCTGGGTTATAACCTCCCTTATACTAACCAAATGAATTTTTTTTGCTTTTAGTTCTAGTTCTTTAAGGCCAATCTACTTAAAGCATGGGTGCTCAACCTATGGCCCTCTAGCTGTTGCGGAAGCACAAGTCTGATCGTGCCTCTCTTTGGGAGTCATGCTTGTAACTGACTGCCTAGCAATGCCACATGGGATTTGTAGGTTTGCAACAGCTGGAAGGCCACGGGTTTAGCACCCATCTGTTAAAGTGATTTTAAACCTTCTATTTTTAAGCGCTTCTTTATCTTTTACTTGTTGCCTGTGTTCCAGTTAAACTGCCCCAGGTTTCCTGTTTCAGGGTGGTTTCTGTTTCTTGCAATATCCTAGTCCTTGCATGCAGGACTAGGGTTGTGTCTCTCTACACTGTGTGCATCATTAGAAATACAGAGCCCTGACAGCGTGGCAGCTCATGAGGAGAGAAATGCCGATAACCGGAATTTCCCGATTTACATGTGACCAGCTGTGATTGGACACAGCTGATCACATGACCGAGCCAACATCTTCGGCTCTTTCCATCGATTGGTGATCCGCTGTGCCCGAGGGACACAGCGCACCACCGCTTGCCGTGCTGCGTGCCCCGGAGCCGCGCATGTGCGGTTAGAGTTGGACGGCGTCAAATGACGTCCTCCCAGAGCGAGAGAACCGCCTTGCGCCGTCATTACATTATATGGCGGGCGGGAGGTGGTTAAAGACCAGCCGTTCAGGTAAGCAGCAATGAAAGAACAGGAGCCAGTCACATTGAAATTTGTGTTGATGTAAGAATTTGACCAAATTATTTACTAGGTTATATTGTATCATGCTGAATGTGCTACACTAAAAAATTCAGAGGGTTTAATACTACTCTTAGGCCTTTGACTGTTGACTTGATATTTTTTCCTTAAGTCAAGGATTACGTATTTTAGGCTCAAGCCTTTTCTCCAGTTGTCCAAATGGTACTCCCTATTGGACAATGTATGTAATTTCAAACTTTCCCTTTCGGGTATGTTTTGTCTCTGGGACTTAGCCAAGGTCCCCCCCCCCCCAAGTTTTACCCAATTCAAGCAGTTTATTGTACCTCCTATTTTTTTTTTTGTGTAGATGGTTTTACTGCTCTCCAATTCTATGTGGTGGCCCATCATTTTCTTCGGGTGTTCCTTTCACATACACTTTGTAGTACAATCTCCACATTCTCTGGATCTCTCAATGGCTATTGCCCACCTTCCCTTGGACTGCTTTAAGACCTCCAACCATTTTTCATTTCTTAAGGGATACAGGAAAATTAGAAATTCTTACAGTAAAATAAGATTTTTGTACTGTTATATAAAGTATATTTTGTCGATATCAGGACACTGGTCCTTCTAAGTTATTGGCCTTCTTTACTGCTTGCTCACAAAAAGAACATGGCTGTTTGAAGGTTGGGTTATAGTGATTGGCTTACCATTTTTTTTTTTTTTTGTTTTACCAGTGTCCCAACTTGCTAAGATTCTTGCCACACCATTCCCCCCCACAATTACAAACAAACATATTACTTTCACTGTACATGGACAAAAGACTGTGTGTTTTTTTGTTTTTTGTGTTTTTTATGGTTTTTTTGCCCAATTATGTTGTAGGCAATGTATTCACTGTATTTGAACATGTCCATGCAAATGTCTAGGAATTGCAAAAAAATGCATGTAACTGCACACAAACAAGAAATCACAAACATGCACATGCCAATTGAGTGACTGTGAAATTTAAGGAGCATGTGATTTATTTGCCATCTTTGAGTCAAATTAACATTTTAAAATCTTCAGAGTGTATTTTTCATCTAAAAGATTACATTGTCAAACTGCTTTTGAACTTCCTCTTTGACAAAAAAAGTATGCATTCAAGACTTTAGCAATAGGAATGTTACTTAGATGTAAGAAGAAATTTGGTAATCTGCTATCGTCATGAAGCCATCAGTTAAGACATCTACGTAAACAACACTATTTTACTAATTCCTACTTTACCCATTTCCATAGAGGTTATGTCCACTTAAATGCAGCAGTACTAACTTGTTGGCAGATGAATTCACAGCAAGTACATTTTCCTCTTAAAGGACTTCTTTTGCTTCAAGGTCTTTTAACCACTGACCATCAAGAAATCTGTAATTATGGAATGTAATTATTCTAAAATAAGGGTTTCCAGAACTTCACACTGGGACATTTAAGTGGGGTACTTGGAAAGCCACGGAATTATATTGGAATATTTAGAATGTTTTTCTTTTTCAGATATTTGGAGTCTGGGTGTAATCCTCTTCATGCTGGTGTGTGGGACTCCTCCATTCCAAGAAGCAAACGACAGCGAAACGTTGACAATGATAATGGACTGTAAATATACTGTACCCAAGCATGTGTCCAAGGAGTGTAAAGAGTAAGTGATGGTTTTCTCTATCACTGAGATCATGAGATCATATGGAGGTTAAAATATCAGAAACTTGTTTACAGATATGTACCGTTAAAGCAAATCTGTTCTCTAGTCGTAAACTTTTAACCTAACCTTTTTCTTTAAAGCAGGCATACCTATTTTATTACCTTAATTCTAGTGTGCTCCTACAGGAGGCCAGCTCAATTCTGTTGTTGTGAACTTAATTGTTCTGACCTTCTCATGTAAATCTCAGTGCCATAGCGATCAGTCCCATCCACTATCAGTTTAGAGCAATGGTGGTAAACTCTCATGATATAGGAGCCTCAAGTGTGGCCCCTGATGCCACCAAAGGGTGGCAAATAATATTCAGTGAATGTGATGCTACAGATGGTTGTCAGACTATAGCTATGCAACAAGAGATGGTCATGGATTACAGGCATGTTATAAGAGATGGTAGTTGACTATAAACTTGCTGTAGGAGTTGATGGGGACATGTTTTACAAAACATTCATAGACTAGTAATGTTTCAGAGGAAAGTCATCGATCGGAGGGGAAAGATACTGCGAGAGATTGTTGCTCTCATTGCCTCTTTACAAATATGTGCTTTTTACATTTGTATTCCCTACAAATCCATTCAAAATGTGTGCGACATTTGATATTTCTCTTAGATCCGTTATATAAGATCAAAGGAAAAAAAAATTGGAAACCAGTAAAAATAAGAAACTTAAAAAAAACATGCTTTAGACTGGCTTCTAGTTTTTAACTGGCCTGAGCAAACACTTGGGTAAGGAAACGGACTACAGTAATTTCCAAAGGGCTGCAGGTTGGGCACCAGGGGTTTAGAAGCCTGGCAGCCAATGGTAGCACTTAGCTGATAGTGGGATGGGGGCTAGCCAGAGCTTAGCTGAGAACTTGAACTGAAGACCCTACCAGGTTTGAGAACCTCCAGGAGCACAACACAGGGTTTGCATCTTAATGGTCCATTGTGGCTGCCAGCTTTGTCACTTGAACAGTATGGTCAGTTATTCCTCTAAGCATCTCCCTCAGTGGAGACTGTTTGACACACGTATGCTTTTATGATTGTATGATGATGACAGATCAGTCTGGATGTCAAACTCAATCTATCCAAACCAGAGCTCATGATATTTTCTCCCCCATGTGCTCCTTCCCCAGACGTCTGTCAAGATCAATGGCACAACTATCAGTACGCCACCGCATGCCAGAGTGCTAGGTGTAATCCTGGACACTGAACTCTCCTTTTGGCCCCACATCCAATCACTGTCCAAATCTTGTTGAATCAACCTTCACAAGATCTCCAAAATACATACCTTATTAACCAATGACACCACAAAGCTTCTAATTCACTCCCTGGTTATCTCTAGTCTTGACTATTGCAACACCTTGGAAGAGAAGAAAATTCTGGTCGGCCGCACATCCAATACAATCACCTTTATTTGGACATATTTAAAATAGACACTTCACAATATACAAAAGAGGGGAACATAGCTAAAGCACCGCCAGCGCTTAATCACAGCTGATACTGAAGTGTTCACACAATTATGTGTGTATGTATGTGTGTGTGTGTATATGTATATATGTGTGTGTGTGTATATGTATATATGTGTGTGTGTGTGTGTGTATATGTATATATGTGTGTGTGTGTGTATATGTATATATATATGTGTGTGTGTGTATATGTATATATATATGTGTATGTATATATATATATATATATATGTGTATATGTGTGTGTGTATATATATACACACACACACACACACGATAATAATGGTCTCTTGATTGCTTGCAATCTCTTATGAGACACAGGTATCGATAGTTATTGGTAATCGGCTGTGTCTCTGAAGCCAAAGAAAAAAAATAGAATGCAATCCTATACAGCCAGTGACAGTGTAAAGTATCTAATATTTATTTCAGGTACTTGTATAGCGCTGTTAATTTACGCAGCGCTTTACACATAGATTGTACACTCCTTGAGGGTTAGGGACTGATGTAAATGTTCAATATAAGGTCCCTAACTTACATTCATACATACACATATTAGAGCCAATTTAGACTGGATCCAATTAACCTACCAGCATGTCTTTGGAGTGTGGCAGGAAACCGGAGCACCCGGAGGAAACCCACGCAAGCACAGGGAGAACATGCAAACTCCATGCAGGAGGCGCCAAGGTCAGGAATTGAACCCATGACCCATTTACTGCAGGGCAGACGTGCTAACCACTAAGCCACAGAATAGTAATGTCCCTGTTTTTTCCACTTCACATAGTGTGGAACTTAATAAAATCAAGACTATAGTGGAGAGATACTTACTGATTCTGTTTAATGACCCTACTTATGCACAAATACTGTAGAAAGGTATAAAAACAATATAATGCAGGGCCCCCTATGCTAGCTAGATTTTTGTCTCCTAGTTTATATTCTAGCAAGGGTAGAACTCCTTCTCATTGGTTGCTATTTAAAGGCACCTTTTCGTTGTGGAGTAAACAGCTGTACATGCGGTCCACACATATATAGAGGAGATGTAGTTCAGTCCACTAGTACGAACAAAAGGCATAAGATTTCCTCTTTCATAAATTGCGTACTACTCGCCGACTTAGGGACAGTCTACATGACCATTTATATGATACCACTCTACCAATGTGGCTAAACACTTTAACGATTGTCATGAAGGCGATTCCTCATCTTTGCTTATACAGGTTATGGAGAGAATTATAGTTTCAGAGAGAGGCGGTGACAAATTCAGATTATTATGTGAAAAAGAAGTCTTCTGGATTTTTACTCTGAACTCCAGGAAACCATTAGGACTCAATCACAAACACAATGTTTCATATTATTATGAGTAACGTGTTTGCTTATTTTTGATAACAGATTATCTGATTTTCCTAATATATCTCATATTCTATTTTCCATAAATATATATATATATATATATATATATATATATATATATATATATATATATCATATTCTATTTTTGTGTACCTGTTGTGTTTTTCTATCCTTGTTTGTTTTATTGGTGTGCTGTCATCCATTTAGGGCATTATGGTATGGGCATATAGTAAGTTATGAATATACATGAATAATGGTATTCCATATTCCTATACAGTGTGTTCATTTACATGATTTACTTACATATTCTTTTTCACATCATCTGAATTTGTCACCTCCTCTCTCTGAAACTATAATTCTCTCCATGCCCTGTATACGCAAAGATGAGGAATCGCCTTCATCGCCTAACCAAAACACCACAAACTTCTAATTCACTCCCTGGTTATCTCTCGCCTCGACTACTGCAACTCCTTCCACATTGGATTATCTTTACATAGGCTATCCCCCCTTCATTCCATCATGAAAGCTGCTGCCAGACTTATCCACCTTACCAACTTGTCAGTGTCTGCTACCCCTCTCTGCCGATCCCTCCATTGGCTTCTGCTAACCCAACAAATAAAATCCAAAATGCTAACAACTTACAAAGCCATCCACAATTCTGTCCCCATCACTAACCTTGTCTCAAAATACCAACCAAATTGTTTTCTTCTTTCCTCCCAATACCTCCTCCTCTCTAGCTCCCTTGTAACCTCTTCCCATGCATTCCTACAGTGCTTTTCCACTCTCCCATCCTCTGGAATTCCCCACCCCTATCTGTCAAACTATCTCCTACTCTGGCCACTTTTAGTTGATTCTTGAAATCCCTTCTCTTTAGAAAAGCCTATCCTGCATCCACCTAAAATCTGCACTTTTTATTTTCTCCATCAGCTGATCCCCACCAGTTAGATACCTTTTTGTATCATTTGACCCTCCCATTTGAAGCTCTGAGAGGTTCCTATAATTCCTCTTGTACTAATTTGTATTGTAACTGTCTGTCCTCATGTTGTAAAGCACTTTGCAAACTGCTGACACTATATACTGTAAATCCTGAGTAGTAGTAGTAGAGAGCTAATTTTGCAAGGCTGAGAGCTGCTCTCAAGACTTGGACTGGGAGGGAATATTTTTCATCGATGAACATAACACAGAAATGGGAGTTCTTCAAAAAGACTGTATGTGAACACACTGCAAAATATATCCCCATGGGCAACAAGTTCAAAAGGCTAAAAATCAAACCTGTGTGACTTACGGACAAAGTTAAAATGGGTATAAACCATAAGAAAAGCGCTTTTATGAAGTATAAAAATAAAGGAACGCTATCATCTTTTAAACATTACAAAGAGTATAACAGAATAAGTAAAAAGAAATCAAGGCCGCAAAAATTGAAAACGAACGACAGATTACAAATGATAGCAGGACCAACCCCAAAAAATTCTTCAAATATATCAATAGTAAAAAGGTCAGGTACGAGCATGTAGGCCCTTTACAAAATAATCTACAGTGGGTGACTGGGGACAAAGAGAAGGCAAATTTTATTAAATACCTTCTTCAGCTCTGTGTATACAAAGGAGCATGGAGGAGCTCTTGTCCATAATGACCATGGTATTGACTCAGCTACAGATGGTCCACGTTGGCTCACAACTGATATGATCCAGAAATATATAGACAGAAAAAAGGTGAATAAAGCACTTGGACCAGATGGCATACACCCACAGTTTCTTAAAGAATTGAGCTCTGTCATTTCAAAGCCATTGTTTCTCATTTTTAGGGACTCTTTAATGACTGGCATAGTACCACTGGATTGGCGTAAGGCCAATGTGGTGCCAATATTTAAAAAGGGATCAAAATCTTTACCAAGTAATTATAGACCTGTTAGTTTAACTTCTATAGTTGGGAAGATACTGGAGAGTTTAATAAAAGACCACATAGATGAGTTCTTGCTGGAAAAAAATATTTTAAGTAACACACAGCATGGATTCATTAAAGACAGAAGTTTTCAAACAAATCTGATTTCTTTTTATGAGGAGGTTAGCAAAACCTTGGACAGAGGGGTGGCTGTGGATGTGGTATACTTGGATTTTGCAAATGTGTTTGACACATTTCCCCACACACAGCTAATGTGTAAGGTAAAGTCTACAGGCTTGGAAAAATCTGTATGTAAATGGATAGAAAACTGGCTAAAAGATAGTATTCAGAGAGTAGTGGTTAATGATTCATACTCTGAATGGTCTAGGGTTGTTAGTGGTGTACCCCAAGGTTCAGTGTTGGGATCCCTACTCTTTTTTAATATATTGTAAACGATATACGGTCTGGGATTAAAAATACCATTTCAGTCTTTGCAGATGACACCAAGCTTTGCCGTTGAATAACGTCCTTACAGGATGTCTCCAACTTACAAGCCGACCTCAGTGCACAGTTGGGCAACTATGTGGCAAATGAGGTTTAATGTTGATAATGGTAAGGTTATACACTTGGGGGCTAAGAATATGCATGCATCATACATACTAGGGGAAGTACAACTGGGGGAATCAATGGTGGAGAAGGATCTGGGAGTTCTGGTAGATCAGGGGTGTCAAACTCCATTTTATTGCGGGCCGTATCAGCATTATGATTGCTCTCAAAGGGCCAGTTGTATCTGTAAAACTAGATGTCCAGAGCACCCCACCCCCCATTACACCAGATGTCAAGAATCCCACACCCTCCCTAACATAACATCACCGTGCACCCCCTTTGGGGGCAGAGCTGGAAAGCAGAAAGTGCAGGGTCTGGAGGAGGACCAGAGGAGGAGTGGAGTCGGTTACCAGAGTCTGCTGAATGCTGAGACCAGTGGAGCGCAGAGTTGAGGGGGTGCTGCAGCTGCATTGAGAGGTGCAGGATTTGGCAGAGGAGTGCTATTCTCTCTGCCTCTGACTACTGAGACATAGTGGGGGTGGAGACAAGGGGGTACCTGCAGGAGAGGTGCAAGGGCCACATGAAATGGCTTGGAGGGCCCGATTCTGCCCGTGGGCCTTGTGTTTCACACTTGTGTGGTAGATCATAAGCTGCGATTTCTAAAGTAAGCAAAATCCTCTTTTATTAAAAGGTATAGACTGCAGAGAGAGAGAGAGAGAGAGATCCTTTTACCCCTGTGCAAATCATTAGTAACACCTCATCTGGAATATGCAGTTCCATTTTGTGATTTGGTGCCCAAAATTGGGGAACATTGGGGAACTGGAGAAAGAACAGAGAAGGGCAACCAAACTGATAAGAGGCATGGAGGAGCTCAGCTATGAGGAAGGATTAGAGGAACTGAATTCTCTCTTGAGAAGAGGAGATTAAGGGGGAATATGATAAACATGTATAAATACATCAGTGGTTCATATAGTGAACTCGGTGTAGACTTATTCACCTTGAGGTCATCATAGAGGACAAGGGGGCACTCTTTACGTCTGGAAGAAAAGAGATTTAATCACCAAATAAGGAAAAGGAAACTTTGCTGTAAAAATGTGGAATAGACTCCCTGAAGAGTTGGTTCTGGCCAACTCAGTGGATTGCTTTTAAAAAGGGCCTTGATTATTTCTTGGATACACAGAATATAACTGGATACTAACATTTATAGGTAAAGTTGATCCAGGGAATATCCGATTGCCTCTCGGGGATCAGGAAGGTATTTTTTCCCCTGCAGGAGCAAATTGGATCATGCTTTGCTGGGTTTTTTTGCCTTCCTCTGGATGATGAACTGTTGGTATAGTATTATAATTTTATTTATTTATTTTTTTAATGGTTGAACTAGATGGACCTTTTTGTCTTTTTTCAGCCAGACTAACTATGTAACTAGTAGTAATAATGATAATAAAAATCCTGTGAATTCCTAAGTTCTGCAGTAGATCACTGCCACTGGTCGTTTGCATTTTCTTGTGCTCAATGTAGGTAACTTCAGTCCTTCTTGATTATAAATTTCCATCATCACTTGCATAGGAACATATATTTCACATTTTCCAGTTAACTGTTGAGGAGTTTCTGTAGCTGAAATATAGGAAAAAGCAACAGGAAGTGATTTTGTCTATACAATCAGCTGTAATAGCTTGGTGACATTGAACTGGCATTTGCTTAGAAAGAGAGAAACAAGTGCAAACATTTGTATAGATATAGAAGCAGTATCACAAAAAAAGGATTACCAGTTTTATAGAGAAAACTATTTTTTGTTGGGAGAAGGACTGGCAAGCTTAAAGTGATCTGAAAAAAAAATGTTTTTTGCTTACCTGCTCTGTGCAATAGTTTTGCACAAAGCAGCCCCGATCCTCCTCTTCTTGGGTCTTCCGCCAGCGCTCCTGGCTCCTCACCCCTGATAAGTGCACCAATAGCAAGCCACTTGATAAGGGGGCACTCATGCATGCTTGCTTCCACCACCTGCTCACTCTTTACTGACTGAGATTGACAGTAGTGGGAGCCATTGGCTGTGTCTCAACCAGTGAGAATAGAGACCAGGGGGAGCCGCTGCTGCCATGCATGTTGCTGGATCGAGATCAGGCTCGGGTAAGTATTAAGGGGTGGGCTGTGGGGGGAGCAGCAGCAGAAGGTTTTACCTTCATGCATTAAAACTTTACAACCACTTTGAGGAATGGTTATAACTAAAATTAATAAATAAATATATATAATGTCACAAAGGTAATGATAATATGCAATTAATTAATATGGTACTTGGCAGTTTCCAGGTGTTAGGACCTAGAACTGCACATCTTGGACCATTCAGTTTCCCTGCCTGCCTCTGTGCACCAACTCTTCTAGTATTGTGCAGTAAGTGGTACATTACACATCATTGGTTAAGATGCAATTGGAGATCTTGTTAATTAACATTCTGACACACATTGCTGCCTGACTTCACTCCCTGCTCCCTCGTTTAACTGACAGCATCAGGAGCCAATGGCTTCTGCTGCTGCCAAGACTCCTGTGAGAAAAGAGAGAGGGGAAAAGAGTTGCTCCAGCAGATGGGCACAGTGCTAGATTGAGATGGGGCTTAGGTAAGTGTTTAAGGCGGGGCTGGGGGGGGCAGCTTTTGAAAGGTGTTTTTTTTTTTTTTTTTTTTTGCTTTATTACCACTCTAAAATACCTTTCTTGTATTTTAAAACTGTTTCACTAGTTGTAACTTATATTCTTTATTCTGCTAGTCTGTGTTCTACACATTTGTCAAAACATGACATTTTAAATAGCTCAGAGGTACAAAGATATTTGATAAATGAGTCACCGGGTTGTGTCATGTTCCTTTTGCTGTCATGTAGAATCCTGTAGCTTGTCAGGCATTCGGAGGTTATCTGTAATATGGAACAAATATTGCCAGGGCAGGTAAAGATGTGTACAGACCTAAGAGAACTTTGGCCCAACCCATCCATTGTCGGTCATACATTTGCATATTTGTATGACTGTAGGCTTTTGTCATGGCCAAGTCTACTCAAGGACAAAAAGTCTATTTTCTGTCAAATGCGGTTTTTCTTGAGCAGCCGAATGGTGGAGCTCCTTCTTGCCCTTTTCATAGGCATATGCATGAAGGTTCATCTGATTTGAACTTCTGGGTTTGTATTTCAGGATCTTAAAGCGGTATTAAACCACAAACATTTATTATATTGCTGGTTACCAATTCTTGGATGTAGTGGCTGTACTTTCCTTTTTTGGGGGGGGGGGGGGCTGGCTTTCTGTTTTTTTCATCTGATCCAACCAGCGGGTCTTTTGTTATTCAGGAGCTGAAGCTCTCCAGTACAATATATCAGTTTAAATGGATCAGGCAAAACACGCAACACTGACAGGGGTAGTTAAAATGAGCAGCTTTTTTTATTCATGCAAAGCCTTTATCCCAAAAGGAAAAACACTGCTGTAACTAATTATAAAGTGTGAGCTGGAGTTTGGCTTCAGTTTGTGTAGTGTATTTAAATGTGTGACTCTATTTAACACAGTGCTCCCCCCAGACTGACAATGCTACTGTCTGCTGTGTCTCCTGTGCTCATTCATCCAGAGTTGTATCTCACTAATACTGGAGCCGTGTTGCTGGCCAGATCACCAGGTGAAAACAGAGGGGTTAAGGCCCAAAGAAATAAAAAAACTGATGCAGCCACCACATATGATTGGTAAGCTGCAACATAATACATTTTTTGTATTGTGTTTAATACCACTCTAAACAACTTTCCGTTGCCTAAAATTAGTAGGTGCCTTTAAATGAATTGGGTCTCTGATCTGGCTATAATATTGTGATGGGGATTTGTTTTCCAAGGTAAAATGCAGAGTGCATAGGAAAATGTGCATTGTGGCAGTACTATAAAGGTTAAAACATAACAGCAACCTCGAAGTGTCTTATAACATGGCAGCAGTCTTCTGTAATACTCTTTAATTGTGGTAGTGATAAAGGTAGGTTTTATGGGTACTAGCATATTGAGGATCACTAGAACAATCTACAAAACAGACTTGTGCAGACCTGTGTACTGGTATACTGCAATGTTTTACTATGTCCTCTTATGTCACGATTCTTGGCCTTGACCTGCATTGTACTCAGGATTATGGTTTTGTATTCCTAGCCTGATCACTCGGATGCTACAGAGAGATCCTAAGAGAAGAGCATCTTTGGAAGAAATTGAAAACCATCCTTGGCTCCAGGGAGTTGACCCATCTCCTGCAACAAAGTACAACATTCCTCTAGTGTCCTACAAGAACCTCTCTGACGAAGAACATAACAGCATCATACAGCGGATGGGTTCTCGGTGACATAGCAGATCGTGATGCCATTGTAGAGTAAGTTGTTGCTTTTCACCCATCAATCGGTTTGTTCCAGCTTATGATCTTGCTGTGGTTGATAAGTTTCTTTGAGGTTTTCAGAAAGCCCCACAGAAGCTGTATACTGTATTCCTGCATACACATGGAATCCTTTATTTCTTAACTGTTTGGCCGAAGTGTTCTACAGCTGCGAGCGACCACTGTTAAAATCCGGAGGTGGATGATTTCTACAGGAACCATGCACATTAATGCAATGATTGATTTTATGCTGATTTGGTCAGGGTACTAGTGGTGATCGCGAAGTACTGTATGTATGAAATATACATTTTTTTTTTTATTTTTTTTTTTCATTTTTAATTTAAACCCCCAATAATTTATTTTAAATTTGAATTTGTCAGAGAATAATTGTTTAAGGAAATTACATGTAAGAATAATCCTTTTAGTTGGTATTTGACACAATCTGTGATTATTTATTTATTTTTTTTCTGTACACTTTGTAATTTATTACAAAATTTGAAAACACAGCTATTACAGGATTAATATTTCAAATGCAGCTGCTTCACAACTGCATTCTCAGCCTATCCTAAACCGTATCTGGCTTTATTTGATATTGCAGTGTGCATGACAGCTGAATAAGTCCAGCGGCCATAACTAGCGTATGTATGTATGTATGTATGTATGTATATATGTGTATGTATATATATATGTGTGTGTATATATGTATGTATATATATATATATGTATGTATGTATATATATATGTATGTATGTATGTATATATATATGTGTATGTATGTATGTATATATATATATATATATATATATATATATATATATACACATACATATATATATACACACACACAGTGTGTGTATGTACAGTATGTAAAAAGATCTGGTTTGGATGATTTGCCTCTTAAAGATAACTCTTCTAGAGGAGCATGGGATGCTGACCCATGGCTTCAAATTAATAACCCAGAATAAGCTTGCTTGGGGACTTAGGGCTTTTTTTTCTTACTTTCCTGATCCGCATATCTGCTGTGGGTAAACTAAATAAAATATTGAGGCCAGTAGGTCAGCAGGCAGGCAACTGGATTTTCAAAATCTGACTTAAATGCACAATATTTAGAGCTTGAGAGAAGTAGGCCCCCCATTTATACTTGCCTAGATGGATGCAACATCAGTCTGATGTTATACCTGTCAGCTATAAGGGTGAGAACTCTGATCACGGAGTTCTCTCTGCTCCGAGCAGAGAGCAGTGACTGTCACCACTGTCTGCTCTAGCTCCCCCCTCCCCCTTCCTCTCTCTCACTGGAGCGCTGGGCTGGGGAGGGAGTGGCTGGCACAACTTCTGAGCGTTTCACTGAGAGGAGGAGCCGTGTGCCACTCCAGAGGTGGATCCCGACTTTGAAGTCGGAATATTTCCCCCAGCCTTGTCGGATGAGTGACATCAGCCGACAGTGTACCTCAGCCCGCTGTCAGCTGAAAACGGGTCATAGGAGCTCAGAATGAACTTCACTCCTGCGATCCACAGGAAAAATACAGCCAAAATAGCTTTGACTGTACTTCTCGTGTAATGGAAAATTAAAGTACAGGTGCACTCTAAGGCTGGCCGTAGATGGTTTGAACCTCGGCCAGTTCAGCAGGGACCAGCTGAGATTCAAACCATGTATGAGCAGGCTGAATGTACCAAAGTTGATCAATTGGTCAACTTGGGTAGAATCAGCCTGTCAAATTTTACATTCGACTATTGCTAGCCATTATTATAGCTGCTAGCATTAATCAGCTGCCCCCACCTGGAGAACACAGTAGCTCAGTGGAAGGGATTCCCCATTAACAAAGACTGTGTTGATGGGGGCATTGAGCGATTTTTCTTTCCTGCAACAATGGGTTGCTCCATCTATGGCCGACTTTAGTATACTTGCCTTGCCCAGGTCCCCTCCTTTCCCCAGTGTAATTGTGATATAATGTGCTCAAAGCAGTTTATAGTGGTATCCTAATCTTGGAGGTGCATGTTTTCAGCACAGTACTTGAATGCTATGAGTACAGAGGTTTCCAGCACAAGAGAACTAGGTATCCGGCATAAAAAGGGTTGATCTGTAGTAGGGCTTGTTTTAGGGGTTAGGTAGTGCTCAGGTAAACAAGGGTTAACGTTACTGGGGTGCTACTTTTTTTCATTGACCATTTTGATTTGTTTTTTTCAGTAGTTCTGTGTGAAAACAAGAGTATTTTGCTTAACTTCCCTAAAATAAACTCCCTGGTAACTTTTCTGTGGTTTTCCGCTTAAAGCTGTACAGTGCCTCTTCAGAAATATCCTGCACCTAATAGTCCTGCATCTTATTCTGTACACATGCATGTCCCCAACTTCAGTGATTTCAATTCAAAGGCTGTCTGCAGGTTTTCTATTGAAGTGAGTGTCGTTTATAACTCATCTGGCAAGGTGAAGTTGGGTTTAAGGGGCTGCTCTGATGGTGTGAAGTTCTCAAGAGGATACATGTACACTAATCATTTTCAGCATGTTTCTCATATGTAGTCAGCAAGGTTTTTTTTTTTTTTTTAATCCTCCAATGCCAGTTTCATAATCACCGTTCCTGAGAAGTGGTAAGAACTGGTGTCCCCATTTCAATGCCCAGCCTAAATGCCCATTTTTTTATCGCAGGATACAGGTCACAGTGAAGCATGTGCTTTGCATGGCATACTCATGTATTTAGCCAATTGGCTGAATGTATGTTGATGGCCCTGGCCAAATAGAAGTGTGCATGTCTGCGTTACAGAGAGTGTACACCCTCCCTTCTCAATATTTTTTTTTTTAATTGCCTTATTTCAAACAATCGCCCCCTTAAAAAGGTCATATCAGGGTAACTTTTGGTGTCCATAACAATCTCCTGAATTGGACAAGGATCATTTTATTTTACATACTGTAAGGTTATATGCATGGCTGTCAGGCAAATGTACAATATTGTGCAGAAATGCAGTAAAATCAGCTCTGTGGGGCACTTTGGCTGGCACACCTTGTGCAGTTTTGTGGCAGACGACATGGGCCTAGCCTAGATTTGTGCTGTGTGTGTATATGGCAGCCTCCCTTTCCCACAGAGGTTTTACTCTACCATAAAAGTAGGTAGATTCTATTCAAAGGCGAAGGCAAAAGAAACCCCATGAATTCCCAGTATACTTCTCCACAGTTGCGTATTCTGACATAAAGCTAGTCCTACTTGTAGCATGTTGTGTAGATGAAACCGTTCCAGCTCTTTAAGCAATCTCATGTTTCCTGTTTTCTTTTTCTCATTCAGTGCCTTGGAAACAAATAAATACAACCACATAACCGCTACTTACTTCCTGTTGGCCGAGAGGATTCTACGAGAGAAACAGGAAAAGGAGATACAGGCGCGCTCTGCCAGTCCCAGCAACATAAAAGCCCAGTTTAGGTACTAATTTATGCATACCTTATCAGTGAGACTGCTGAGTGGGTGAATAAGGAAAGTGCTAAAATATGTTACTTCGTAGCCTTTTTTTACATTAGCTGTGAAACCAGTTGTTTTAGCAGATCTGACTTGTAACATTTGTCATTTGATTTATACATTATTTTGTTTTTCACTTGATCTAAACCACAGAATGGTCATTTACATAAATGTTTGGGTTTTTAACCACTTGCCCTTCAGAAGATTTACCCCCCTTCATGACCAGGCCATTTTTTGCGCTACGGCACTGCCTTACTTTAACTGACAATTGCGCGGCCATGCAACGCTGCACCCAAATGACATTTATGCCTTTTTTCTTTTTATTTTCACAAATCGAGCTTTCTTTTGGTGGTATTTGATTGCCTGTGGTTTTTTTTTTTTTTTTGCGCTAATTAATTGGTTTACGTGAAAGTTATAGCGTTTACAAATGTCGGTATATATACTAGAAAAATTGTTTTTTTCGTTACTAGTAATGGCGGCAATCAGCGACTTATAGCGTCACTGCGGCGGGCATTCTGACACTGGGCGGAACTGACTTGGTGTCACTAACATCCCCAATGACACTAATACAGTGATCAGTGCTAATAAAAAGCACCGACACTGTACTAATGGCACTGGGCATAAAGGGGTTAACATCTAGGACGATCAAAGGGGTAATTGTGTGCTGTTTCACAGTATGCTGTGTGTGTGCTTTCCACTGTAAGCACACTGCTTTGTATGGCTTTGCTATGCAGAGCCATACAAAACAGTGTGCAGGGCAGAGAACTGTATTGTTTACATACAGCTCTCTCCCCCGTCAGTAATACTCGGCAATCATCGTGTACTGGCGAGTAATCACCGGCCGGAACCCGGTGATTGACAGCCGAGGCCGGAACTGCTAAATCACATGCATACATATGTGTTTTTGTGCAACCTTGCCGCCCTGTAGCAGTATTTTTGCTATAGGGCGGACAGGAAGTGGTTAATAATCAGGTCCTACATGTGGTCTGACAACATTTACCTGTATGGCGTGATTTCATTTAATAATTGTGCTCGATAGCTGTCACGGAGTTCCACGTTGTTTTTAAATTTAGACATGATTCAGACATAAAGTGCATGGAAACCCAAACAATAAACTTCTTTTATTCGCTCCCTTCTGGTCTGGTAAATATACTAGTAAAAGCGCGTTAAAACAAGTACTCAAGTCTGTAGCATTAGGCATTGTCAGGAGTTTCATGTTCAAAATTCACAACCGAGGCACAGAAATCATATCTTAATTGTACAATACAGAACAAAGAACTTTTACTAGACCATGGTTTATAAGCCGTCATCTTCAATTGATTAGATTGGCAAAAGCTTTGCTGGGAATGCCCTCCATGTAACACTGCCCACACTGTGAGGCTCTAGCTTTTTGCTAGTTTTCCAGTTTTTGCTAGTTTCCTTATGTGATGGATTCCTTCTTTATGTAGAAAAAGATTTTTTTTTTCCATTTTTTTTTTTTTTTTTTTTTTTTTTACCAGGTTTTCCTTCGACTGACACTTTTATCAAGATCTGACTGTATACTGCCTTATGGCTCAGTAGTAGTTTCAAGATTGTTTACCCTGAGTGTATACCTTGGGTACTGTACCCAGACCCTGTGACAGTGGGGATAGCCTGCAAAGTTTGTTTTGGGCACTGAATCCTGTATTAGGCACTCACCCTGGCACATGGTGTGAGTGTAGCTAACTGAGTCAGTGCATACTAGTCTCTATAAAGATACAACTAGTTATGCTCAGCATCCACACATTCCATTAGGCACACAAATTAAGGCAGTGTCTCAAAAGCCTTTCCCCATTCTTGTTCAGGCCATTTGGACTCTATATGATGATTGGCCTAATTCCCAGAGGTTTTTCACTCTGCCTAGCATGTTTGCTGCCTTGTACCTTACAAAAGAGGAAATCTAAAAGAGATGGATTGTTCCCACTTTGGACCCAGCTATTCTTGTACTAAACAATCAATCTAGTGTTCCTAAAGGATTCCTTCCTTTTAACGATTCCATTGACAGGTATTTGGAGACTTTTTAATATTCTCCTTTGCCCTGGCAGGCCCAGTCTTGCAGTTGGCTATTGCCACTCTATCAGTTGCCATGACTATGGCAAACTGAAATGGAGAGCTTTATAGTGAACTTTCTCCTGATATGGCTAATAAAGTTATTTCTACGAAACTATACCGTGGGGAAAATAATTATTTGATCCCCTGCAGATTGTGAGTTTGCTCACTTACAAAGAAATGATGGGTCTATAATTTTTATCATAGGTGCATTTTAAATTATAGAGACAGAATATCAACCGAAAATCCAGAAAAAATAGACGATACAAATATTCTAAATTGAGTTGCAGTTCAGAGACTAAAGTAAGTATTTGATCCCCTACCAACCAACAATAGTTCTGGCTCCCACAGACTGGCTATATGCTCATGTGGTACACAGATTAGTTTTGCCAATTTAAGAAGGTTCTCATTATGACAACTCGTTATGTGTTTGAAAGACACCTGTCCACATAATCTTTCCTCCATTCAAATCTCACCACTATGATGAGCAAGACCAAAGAGCTGTCAGAGGACGTCAAGGTCTAGATTTTAGACCTGCAGAAGGCTGGAATGGGCTACAAGACCATCAGCAAGAAGCTTGGTGAGGAGACAACTGCTGGAGCAATTATTTGCAAATGGAAGAAATACAAAATAACCATCAATCGGCCTCGGTCTGGAGCTCCATGTAAGATTTTGCCTCATATGGTAAGGATTATCATGAGAAAAGTGAAGGATCAGTCCAGAACTACACGGGAGGAGCATGTGAATGATCTCAAGGCAGTTGGGACCACAGTCACCAAACAAACCATTGGTAATACAATAAGCCAGCGTGGATTGAAATCCTGCAGCGCCACAAGGTCCCCCTCCTCAAGAAGGCACATGTACAGGCCCACCTGAAGTTTGCCAGTGAACATCTAAACGATTCAGAGATGGATTGGGAAAAAGTCCTGTGGTCAGATGAGACCAAAATTGAGCTGTTTGACATCAAAGTGTTACTAAACCCACAACCGTAAAATCAGTCTGTATATGCAGTAAAATTTGCTTGATATACTCACTGTGGAACCTAGGGGTTAATCCTTTGCATTCTGTAAAAATGCTGGTTGATCCTGACTTCTCTGATCCTCCCTTCTTCCAGTATCCCCCTCTTATCTCCTGATAAGACATATTGTGTGGAGTCACTCTGCACATGCTTAGTTTAGTGTGTATTGCTAGAGAGGTATTTTCGTTTCTTGGCAGAGTGCATGTGATCAGGGTCCTTGGTTTAGTAACACTTTAACTCGACTTGCTGTGTTTGGAGGAAGAAAAATACTGACTATGACTCTTAAGAACACCATCCCTACAGTCAAGCATAGAGGTGGAAATGTTATGCATTAGGGCTGTTTCTCTGCTAAGGTATAGGCCGACTTTGCTGCATTGAGAGGCCAATGGGCGGGGCCATGTATTGTAAAATCTTGAACGAGAACCTTCTTACCTTATTGAACTTGGGTCATGGATTGGTCAAGGCATCAAAGGAGTGGCTCAAGAAGAAGCACATTAAGGTCATGGATTGGCCTAGCCAGTCTCCAGACTTGAATAGATAGACTTTTATAGAAAATTTATGGAAGGAGCTGAAACTTTGCGTTAGCAAGCCACAGCCAAGAAACCTTGAGGATTTAGTTAAGATCTGTAAACCTGGTAACCAACTACAAGAAACATCTTACCTCTGTGCTTGCCAACAAGGGTTTCTCCACCAAGTACTAAGTCATGTTTTGCTTGGGGATCAAATGCTTATTTTACTCGCTGAACTGCAACTCAATTTATAACATTTGTATCGTGGTTTTTTTCTGGATTTTTGGTTGATATTCCTGTCTCTATCATTTAAAATACACCTATGATAAACATTATAGACCCTTCATTTCTTTGTAAGTGAGCAAACTTACAAAATCCACAGGTGATCAAATAATTGCTTTCCCCACTGTAGCCCTTACTACGTAGATGCCATGGAGAATGTGATTCGTCAGATCTCCAGAATTTTATGTCTGTTTGGTCAGCTGACCCTGGGGCTGGGTCCCTTCCCCTCCCCTCCAGTCAGCTCTCCTCAGAGCACTGCAGTGTGTAATTTCAGCTCTCTGCCCCTTATTTTTCTGAAAGCTTGGAGCTTGGACACGCTTTATACATTTTGGACTTTGAACGGATGTAGAAAAAAGGATGCAGATAAACAGGTACAACTTACGTAGGAGGATTTGTTTAATCTCTGTGCATCTCCGGAGGCCATTCGCTTCACTGGGGATATGTAAAGGTTAACAACCACTTTAATAGCAATTGTAGCATGATAGGTTATACTTATCTAGTCACACATCAGTCCTTGCACTGCTTAAAAAATCACCACTGTCATACTATTTTATTATACCCATATTTACACCCTGAACATTTGCAGTATATCCAAGCTTGCCTTTTTACTACAATGTTTCTGAGCCTAACTCTTTAAACTGTTTGCCCAAATGCCAATGCTCACATTTCTCCTATTCTGTTGATCCTGTATCCTTCCTGGGCTCTAGTCCTGACATTATTTTCATTCAGTCTCCCTTCATTATGACATTGCAAGATTGACAGTTACAAGCATGACTCCCAAAGGCAGAGGCACGATGGGATTTGTAGTTCCGCAACAGCTGGAGGGCCACCAGTTTGACATCCCTGCTCTAGAGCCTTCTTTAAAGGTTTCTGCCCACACTGAGCCCTCCTCTTGTTCTTGGGTATTACCCCCTAATAGGTACTTTTGTAAGAATTCAGCCTTCCCCTCCTCTCCATTTCTCTTGGCAGTCAAAGTTCTGCTTTGGCTTCTCCAATTTTCCTCCTGGGAGCCCCTTTTTCCGCTATGTGTAGACAACTAGTCCTTTTTGCTTTACTGACGCTCTTCACATTTTGTGGGAGTTTCATACCACCTCTCTGTCTGTCATGCCTTACATATGGTTGCGGTCAGGACTTTCCTCTTCCCTTTTGAACTGACCACCTTGTCTGTTTTCCCACAGAGTGGTCTTTCTGTGGGATTCGTCCATCCTCTTTCACCCTGCTGTGTGTTTTATATAATGGATGTTTTTTACTTTTTTTTTAGGGCTTTTGCCCTTAGGAAACAAGTTCTTCCTTGCTTACCTGAAGCCATTCTTCCAGTGTTGTCAGGGTTCCTGGGCCTTTTCAGCATCAAACATCTATTTTATTTTCCCGGTTTGTGGTGCAACCACCTGATCCTCGGTTCATGGTTTCAAAATAGTTTTTTTCCAGGTGACTCTTTGGGCCTCTGACTCTGTCGTCAATTGTCTGTTCGGGTTTACGCTTCCTAGTTTTTCCTGTAGGCCTTTTGTTTTTTTTTGTCACCCACCCCCAAGCTATTGTTTGTTTAGGATGTTCAGTGGTCTAAGAATTCCCATGTCCTGTACTATATGATTAAAATAAAAGAATTCCATATTTTGGTTTACGCTACAAGACCGGTTAGGACACATGTCCCTCCCCTCTTTCCTTTTGTGATCACCTTACTGTTGCTTAAAAAAAAAAACGAACCCACAACCCTGGAGCCCCACTATGTCCTGTACTGTACTCCAGGATATGGAATTTACAGGTATGTCAAAATTCTTTTCACTATAATTTCTCTTGTCTTTGGAGTTGTGATCTATAGATCAGTGATTCTCAACCTGTGGAACCTCAGGACCCATATTTGTCCTTGGTCATTAAGTTGCGACCCAAAAATTATTTCATTTCCAAAACATAATTTATTCCACATAACTTGTGCAGTGTTCTACAATGTATGTGCACTTTTAAACAGTAAACAAACCACTTTCTTCCAAAATGGATAGTGCACTAATCACAGCGCTAGTGAAAATGAAAGTCCTTGCAGCCGTAAGTTTTTATTAAGCTATGTTGTCAGGGCACCAGGCATTTTTATTGGGGCATTAGGTTCGGGGGGCACTCACTTCACAGCCCAGTCCGCCCCCTGTCACGACCCTATTTTTTGGGTCGCGACCCATTACTTGAGAAACATGGGCATATATTGTCCATAATCTGGTAAGACTTGCACTTAATATTTATGAAAATTGTTGAAATTATTGCCCTAAAACTTTGTCGGGGCAAGACAGTCGATAATATCCACTTTTTTTTTTTTAAACTAATTGTGCCATTTAAAGGGTCAGTTCATCAAAATAGTGAGTTTAGTTAAAGATGATCCCTGGTTTCCTCCTTGATTATTTACATGTCTTGGATGCTCAAATGGCAAAACCTCCCACTATAGTTTTTGATTCTGTTCCTCCCCACCTGTGACTTTAGTGTTTCTGCCCAGTTTTGCATGGTCTAATGCCTGCTGCTGCATTCTCCATACAATAAACAATAAAGTAAATTAACAATCAGTGTGAGAGCCCTTCATAACTGCCACAACACATTGTGCAGACCCAAGAACACAAGCACAGAGGTTGTTTAAACTGCAGCATCTGACCAAAGATGAATTATATATTTTGCGAAGACTCGCCCTTGCAGCAACATGAAAATGCAGCAGGGTTTTATTATGTTGTAATTTGTGTTTAGAATTAACTCTTTAGTGCTATGATTGTATATATTGCTGTGAAACGCTATTAGTTATGAGTAACTTGCAGCATGAGCGCTCTTATTCTGCTGTGTATGCATCAAGTCTTTGAAATGCAATGTACGTGTGCTTGCCAAGTCTCTGTAGTGCTTGTTTGTATCATAGCAACTAGACATGGCATTGCTTGGCCTAGAGACTGGCCAGGCTGTCAAGACTGTTCATATTGTGTGCAATGAAGACGATACAGTATATCACAAAAAGTTAAATAGAAGACCTACGATAATAGAAATCAGGCATTCAGTTATATAACAATATATGAAAACATTAGCTGTTTAAATGTCCATTTATAATACCTTGAAAATGTTTAAATGATTTACTTATAATTTAAATTATAATTTTTATATGTATAAAACTGTAGGAAAGATGAATAATAATAGTTTGTAGAAACAAATTAGAAATTAAACTAGAAAAAAGCAGCTAAAGTCCAGGTACTATAGGTAACATACAACTTTCCTATTCCTCTAGTATTTGTGCTCTTTGTTTTTTTTTGTTTTTTTTTTTTTTTTAATCTTTGGAACATAGCTTTTTTTGCGTGCTGTTAAAATTGTTGACAAACTTGCATTAAACATCAGTTTGAGAAGCTTCTGATATTATTTACCTCCTTCTGACCTGCTTCAAGTATCTGTTGCATTCCTGTACACTTGCTTGGGGAGAAAAGCAGTTTGGAAGTGAAAAATGCTTGTTGACCATTCTTTTTGTAACTATTTGACATATAATCCATTTTCTTGGATTTTTTTTAAAACTTTGTTTTTTTTGTTTTGTTTTTGTGCAGGCAGTCCTGGCCCACAAAGATTGATGTTCCTCAAGACTTGGAGGATGATTTGACAGCTTCTCCAATAGCCCATGTGGCTGTTCCACCCACTCCAGCTCGCAGCACAGATAATGTGCTTAATGGCCATAGAAAATAAAGGTCTTGTAGAGCCCCTGAAAAAAGAGGATGTACCAGATTTTGCTGGTCCAGCAGCTTCAGGAATTCCTCCTGCGAGTTTGAACCCATCAACTAGTGGTAGAAAATGCCTTTTCAGAGTGGAAGAGGACGAAGAGGAAGATGAAGAAGAAAAGAAACCCATTCCCCTTTCCACACAAGTTGTTTTACGGCGCAAACCTTCTGTTACAAACCGACTAACATCAAGAAAGAGTGCTCCAGTGCTGAACCAGATCTTTGAGGAAGGTGAATCTGACGATGAGTTTGATATGGACGAAAATCTTCCTCCAAAGCTTAGTAGATTAAAAATGAACATTGCTTCCCCTGGCACTGTACACAAAAGATACCATAGGAGGAAAAGCCAGGGTCGGGGTTCAAGTTGCAGCAGTTCAGAAACAAGTGATGATGACTCTGAGAGCAGAAGGCGGCTAGATAAAGATAGCGGGTTTACCTATTCTTGGCATAGACGAGACAGCAGTGAAGGTCCACCTGGAAATCAAGGTGATGGGGGAGGCCAGAGTAAACCAAGCAATGGAAGTGGAGGTGTTGACAAAACCAGTCCAAGTGATAATAAAGGAGGGGGTAGCCCCTCCAATACTTCTAGTGGTAATACCAACAACTCTTCTGGAAACACCCGCACCTGTTCTGGTAACCCGGTGCAGCAGTCCCCAAGAAGTGCAGGAGAACTTGTAGAGAGCCTGAAATTAATGGGTCTTTGCTTAGGTTCCCAACTGCATAATGGGGCCAAGTATATAATTGACCCCCAAAATAACCTGTCCTTCTCAAGTGTCAAAGTGCAAGAGAAGTCTACTTGGAAGATGTGCATAAGCTCGAATAGTAGTGCCAGTAAAGCTACCCCGTCTAGCGGTATAAAGTTATTCTCTGATCAAATGTCAGACACCACTAATGAACTGGAACGTCTCAAGAACAAGAACTTTAAGAATAATGTACTACAGCTACCTCTGTGTGAAAAAACGATTTCTGTGAATATCCAGCGGAATCCCAAGGAGGGACTTCTATGTACCGCTAGTCAAACCAGTTGCTGCCATGTCATATAACAGTGGCTTGATGTACAGAGCAGTAAAATGCCATTGTTTATGGCTGAGGACATTTGCTGTTTGTGTATTCCATTTTTTTTCGTCTTCATTTTTTAAAGTGGGCTTCATGGGCGATTATTTATTATTTTTTTCCCCAGGTAGATCAGCGGCATGTTTTATTTTGTGCAGGCTGCTAGACAGCACTATTTCTGCCGACTTTCAATATTTTTTATTGTGTAACTTTAATTTGTTTTAACAAAGAAAAATCACGTTGAGTGTGACCTACAAGCATACAGTGTGAGGAGCACTTAAGTCTCATTTTCAGCACTTAAGCTAAGGAGACCTTCCTGGATTTCCTTGTTCTCATAATTCCAATCCTTACTCTTGTGATCGTGGTGTATTTGTGTGTCTGAGAGAGAACCAAAGCAATAATGTTTTATTGTTAAATCTACCCCTTGGGGTGGATTGGCATATTCCAAGGCTTGCACAAATGAAAGATGCACTGAAAACAGTGTTCCAGCTGTAATTTCCAATAGCTGGCTTAGAAATATTGGAACATGCCTCAGACCAGTCCCAAATTAAACTAGTGTCTAAAAACATTAAAGCAAATTTTATTTTTTTACATTAAATAAGACAATCTTTATTTCGTTTCACCATTTTGTGTATTTTAACAGTCATGCAAAGTGGTCGGTGCAGGTTAAATCCACCAGTTTTCCTGATTCTTTGGGGTGAACAATGAAACCATGTCCTGTATAAAGCTGAACGGTGGTCTGGATACAAAGCAAACCACATTGGTGTGGTTGTTTACATAGCCAGTTTCCAGAATCCTTGGTGCACGTTTTGCATTAACGTTTAGCATTTCTTTAAATATTTAATGTTTAACTGTAAAATATGTCTATTTTCTTTTTAAAAATATATCAAACTTGTGCAGGATCATTTAGAGTTACATATAGTAAATGATATATTTCAGGATATCCTGTAAAGGTTAAAAGTATAATTTATCAAATTCTGAAACAAAAAGAATTTATAAAAAAAAAACTGTCATCCACTATATATGGCAGTATATTTATTTTCCCATTAAGTGATGTAGAAAAAATAAAAATCTATTTGTGCATACATCAGTTTCTGTTGGTGAGAGGGTTTAAAGTTGGCCCTGTATGTAGCATCTGGACAACTGATCCAGCTAATGCTCAGGAACTGATGGCCAGGCCTTTAGCAGATCATTCACACATGTAGTTAGAGCTTACAGATCTTGACAGTGCCACAGATCTGAGCAGCCAGACCTCAAAGACCACAGATGCAGTCCTTTTTATAACCAAGTGCTCCATCACATGCAGTTTTTGGATAAGAACATTGGTTAGCCAGATATTAAATAGATCTAAGATATACATGCGCATAATGAAGGTGGCCAAAGGTCTGAAAGTTTAACACTTAAATTTCATGATTGCAAATCAGACAATACAGCCAGTTACACAATGTCTGTGCACACAGACAAAGTGTTCATCAAACAAGTAACATCACACACACATTTAATAATCTTTTTGGCCGTAACTTTAGATTAAATATGAAACCATTTGCTCTTTAACAATAATTAGAAGTGAACAGCTGACTACTTTTCACCCGGGACATTAAAAGTCGCGTTGCTTTTTTTAACTGGATCAGGAGTGCCATATTTACAGTATCAGTGAACATAGAGCCATAGTGGTTCAACAACTTTGCATTAATAAATGATATATATAAATGTTATTTTTTTTCCTCTTCTGATCTCTGTAAACTGGTTGTTTAAATGGTCTAGCGACCTCCATTCAGCAGTAGCATGGGTGCTATGTTTGGTCCTTTTTACTCTACTTCTGAAGCTTGTCATTGACTTTACGTGGGGCGCAATCTGACTGGGAAATTTTTTTTCCTTATCATTCCATTAATTAAAATGCTTGCTTTTGGTTTTGGATAAAAAAAAAAAGATGAGTACTCTCATCTCAGGGGAACACAGTAAAGGGTACACTTGGATCGAAAATCAGACAGTTCAGCAGGGACCGGTCAAATTTCGATCTGCGTGTAGCCTTCCCGGTTTGACAGAATCTGATCATTTGATCAGCTTCTGTTGAATGGTCCTGCTGGAAAACCTCCTTCGATCAGTGGCTTGTACCCAATTGTGTTGATGCAAGAATCTACTAGTTTTTTTTTCCATTCAACTCGCTGGTTAAACGAAAAAAAAAAAACTGTCTTTACCAAGTTTAACAGTCAGCAGAAATTTGGGAAGTGGCAATGACAGACCTTGATATAACAGTCTCTTGTATTGTGCACCTTGAGCTTGCTTGTACCAGCCTTTAAGAGGCCCTCTTGTACTCTTAGAACGGGTCTGGGCAAATGTCACTGAGACCTTATAGCCAGCTGAAAAAATCAGGAGCCACCAAACTACAGCAGTGGTCACCATGGCAAATTGTATTTCCCCAGTCTTATTTTACCGATGTATTTACATAAATTTGGTAACACAAAGTACAGTGTGTGTAAATACATCTGTAAAACAGACCCAGGCAAATTCAGTTTTTTACTAAACATGCATATTTTACTGACCTGTATGGTCTCTCACAGTACTGATCCATATGCTCTCTTTTTTACACACAACAAAAACAGAGCGAGACCTGAGCCATATTGGACATCAATAGTAGAATCCTTCTGTAACAATATACTGCCCCTTTTCTTCCGACATCACATGCACTGTTGTTTGTCTGCAACCTACCCCCTTCCTTGTTATGTTTAAAAATTAAGAATCTACCAAAAAAAACAAAAAAAAAAACAGGAAGAACCATTTGGGACTGATTGAGGGAATCCCATTTCTATTAGGTGCCATCTGGTGGAACTGCAGTCAAAGATTTAAAATTCTAAAATACCTGATCTCCAAATAACGTTTTTCGTTGTTTTCACAACAGGATTTGTCCAACTTTTTCATAGTATCTCATTTTTTTGAAAACAGGGCCTGGGGGCACTTACCATCTTTCCTTGATCATCAGATTGGGTATAATCTGATTTCTACCTGAAATGTACTTTTATGTACATCACAGGTAAATATAATATAGCATAAAGTGACCAAATGTTTAATAAATCAATTGGCTGTCCTGTTTTATTATACCCTCTTGAAATGAACCATGGGAACCCTTACTGTGCCAGATGGAGAACTTTTAAATGGTTCTGTGGTACACAAATGATGCCTCTAAATTAAATGATGGTGTGCTAAGCTTTGTAAGCAGTCCTGTATTTCAAACAGAACCAAGTAACCACTGCTGCAGGTTGATTCAGTGTGTGGGCAATCCTATAGCCCTTCTTATTCTTATACACAGGAACTGACTAAGAATCTGAGCACTTCCCATTATTCATTTCACAAAATGGGTGCCACTTAAATTTACTTTTTACTATTGAGGCAAGTGTACTGGACTCAGCCGTCCTTAGTGATTTGTGTACATCAGTAATTGTTTTCCTAAGCAGAGTTTTGCTCAGCTGGTAAATATACTAATACTGTCTTTTGTACATGCCCCCACATACACACAGCCAGGGTGTTGCAGATATTGTCAGTGTACTTCACCAGTTGGGAATGGAACAAAATACTTTTCTCTTAATTCACAACAAAAGGTAAGCCCACCCAAATCTGCTGGCAGGCTCTTCTTATATCCTTCCCTGCCTACAGGGAGAATAAAGCAGGGTAAGCTCAGAGATCCCCGCATTCACACAAGCGATATGGATGTAGTGCTCTCCCCCGCTGCTCTATTGTATTCTGTCAGCCTGGACTTTTTCCCATCACAATACACTGATCACCTCTGCAGTGGCTAATCGAATGATGGTTTTCCAGCAGGACAATTTGATATCCAGCTTCTGTTGAACAGGACTATACACATACCGAAATTTGGCCATTTCCTGGGAATCTGGCTGAGTTTCGGTACGTGTATACCCAGCTTAAGACCCTGCTATGGCAGGTGGATGTGCCAGGG